ACCCATGAACCGAGAGGTCACCAGTTCGATTCCTGGCCAGGTCACATGCTCAGATTGTGGGCTCCGCCCCCAGTAGGGGATGCGAAGGAGGCAGCCAATTAATGGTCCTCTCTCATCCATGTTTCTGTCTCTCTATCCCTCTCTCTTCCTCTCTCAAATCAATAAAAACATTAAAAAAAAGAAGAAGAAAGAAAGCAAGCAGCAGGTAAACGGTGGTTCGCCCAGAACAGGAAAAACAGACATTCTGCTCCTGAAATTTGTGCTTGGGCCTCAGTGAGTTTCATGCAAGGAACCAGGAGTGTGTACTTTGGAGGGGATTTTTTTGGTGTGTGTTTTACTGGTTCAGCCAGTAAACTTGAGGTCACAGTATTTATCCCTCCCCCAGTGGCTCAGTTTGAGAAATACTGGTGGCAATGTTTCCAGTGGGAGACCCACTGCCCTGCAGGAGCGGTCTTAGGTGTAAGCTCGCTCTGCAGGCCCATTAGACGGCCTGCCTTTAATCCTTTTTATTTGTTATTATTTTTTAAATATATTTTTATTGATTTCAGAGAGGAAGGGAGAGGGAGAGATGGATAGATAAATCAATAATGACAGAGAATCATTGATCGGCTGCCTCCTGCACGCCCCCTACTGGGGATCAAGACCGAAGCCCGGGCATGTGCCCTTGACTGGAATTGAACCTAGGACCCTTTAGTCCGCAGGCGGATGCTCTCGACACTGAGCCAAACCAGCGAGGGCTGTAACCTTTTTTAAATTGAACCAACCCTGCATCAGCATGAGCACCCCTGTTGCAGGGTTTCCCCGACTGACTTGCAAACCCCTCTCTGTCTCTTGCAGCCATACATCCTGGCAGAGGAGCTGCGGCGCGAGCTGCCCCCAGACCAGGCACAGTACTGCCTGGGGCGCATGCCAGCCTACAAGGGCCCGGGTGCAGTGCCTGGCGCCCTGGACTACGCGGCCTTCTCCTCAGCGCTCTATGGGGAGAGCGACCTGTGAGCCTGACGCTGGTCCGCCTGCAGCAGCGAAAGACTGTGACGAGCGTGGTTAAGGGAAGGGACAGGGAGAGATTTTGCGGCTCAGTAATGGTTTATGACATAGCGTGCTTCATCAATAGGTTTCTTTATTTCGGAATTGTTAGCTAAATGCAATGGGAGATCAGGGTTTTTTGGTTTGTTTCTTTGCTCAAACAAAGCAAATTCCTTGAGTAGTATGAAATGAGGATCTAGGGACAGGAGAAAAGGACAAAATGGGAAATCCCCAAATACCCAAGATTTGAGACCAGGAAGAAAAAAATTGGTAAATGTTTCATATTTTTAAAAAATATGCTTAAATAGGCTTATGTGATTATCGTGAGGGGAATATATTTGGGATATTCGTGTTTTACCTTCTCATCCAAAGATTAGCGATATTTAAGTACTATTGTTTCTTTAGTTGAATTTAATGTTGTGAAACAGAACTTCCAGGGAATGGAACCAGACGACCCAAAATATATTTAGTACTTAAAACTTTTAAATAGAGTTTATAGTCAGCTCTTCGTTGTTTAGGACTACGCCGTCCAGTTAGTGGATTTCAATGCCTTATTTATCGTCCAAAGTAGAGACCTCAGGAATCACAGAAGCCGGTCTGCTTGCCGGAGAGGAAGCTGTAGTCACTAGGAAAAACAAATGTGTTAGGATCACGTACTGAATCCAGGTTTCTGTGCATTTCCTAGAGCTTGTTAGCACAGGTTTGGAAGAGATGACTGTAGGTAAGCGCCTTAAGCCCTTGACTTTCTGACCTGGACAGGAGGAGTTAGTGGGGAAGGACTCATTCTTAGCAGCAGTAGAGGTAGAGCTTGCGTTGCAGACCTTTACATATTTTGGGGGGATGCTTTTTGTGTAGTAGGAACGACTTGATGTTTTTTGCCAGCACTCAGCGTGCGGTCACCACTGCGATTGGTGCTGAGCCCTGGGTCTGGCCGTCTCCACACCTGAGGCCCTGCCACGGAGGACACCCCATGCTCCCAGCATCCTCTGCTCTCTTGAGTGTTCATCTGTTCGAATGTTTGGGCTGCCTTATGCTATAACTCCCCCTCTGTTTTTCCATCCTGTTGACAGCTTGTAGAGAAGGCAGGAATTCTGTTTACATCTGAGTCCTTAATGATCAGGAAAGGGATTATAAACAAACAAAAAACTGTTGCCAACAGCAATTCAAGTGTTACTAGGAAAGCAGCCCTGTGCCTGTTGCCCACGGTCTGCTTTCTCAGATTTTTGGTGGATTGCCACCAACAACTGGAAATGTGATATTTTCCATTCATACCTTGTTTGGTAACTTCCTACTTTTACTGCATTGGCCCATGTAGAACCCTTAACCTTTAAAAATTTCACTTGCTTCATTTTATTAAGTAGTTGGTAGGTAGCAAGTTCCTGAAATACCTGAGTCCCTGTGTGTCATGCCAAACACTTTGGGTGATAAGTAGAAGAACTCTGACTCCTTATTTCCAGCAGGTGCTATATTCCAGCCATAAACATTAAGGAAACACTGGGAAGTCGTTCTGACTCTGAGGCCATGAGGGGGACTTGGGGTGTTTTAGGATGCGTACAGGTAGCTCAGCTGCCTAAAATGTTCATTGCTTTACAATATTCAGGCAAGAGGATAGATGTACTATCTGCTAATAAATGAAGAAAGGAGATAAACTCTGAAAAACACTTAATAAACATGTTTATACTCTCATCTTAGAAGATATTTTTATTTCTGAAGCTGAATTATCCATTAAACTTAATTTATAAAAGAAAAAGAATCCATGCTTATCTTTTTTTCAAAGAATAGCCCGTTTCCTCGGTTAACCACAAACTTCCTCACTTAAAATTGCCATCATATTTAAAAACTCTCCATTGGGTAACTATTTGCAGCCATAAGGAATTAGAAATGGGCCCTCGCCGGTTTGGCTCAGTGGATAGAGCATTGGCCTGTAGACTGAAGGGTCCTGGGTTCGATTCCAGTCAAGGGCACATGCTGGGTTGCAGGCTTGATCCCCAGTAGGGGGCATGTAGGAGGCAGCCAATCAATGAGTCTCTCTCATCATTGATGTTTCTTTCACTCTCCCTCTCGCTTCCTCTCTGAAATAAAAAAAAAAAAAAGAATTAGAAACTGGCTGGCTTGGGAGGGGCGAGGGGATAAGGGGTAAATTTGGGATGAGGTATTAAGGTTGATCCAATTGGCCCTGGCCAGTTTGGCTCAGTGGATAGAGGGTCGGCCTGCAGGCTGGAGGGTCACAGGTTTGATTCCATTCCGGTCAAGGGCATGTACCTCAGTTTCAGGTTCAATCCCTGGCCCTGGTGGGGGCACATGCAGGAAGCAGCCAATCAATGTGTTTCTCTCACATAGGTGTTTCTGTCTCTCCCCCTCCCTTCCACTCTCAAAAAATCAATGGGAAAAGTATCCTTGGGTGAGGATTAACAACAAAAAACCCAGGAGTTGTTTGAAGGTCTCATCTCTACACAATGGGTTTATGTGGGATGAGCTGAGTGGGCTAGCTGATTAGCACCAAAATAAGATAATAGATTCTCTCCCACAGGGAGGAAAGGCTTTTTTTGCAGTGTTCCCATCCACTACAGATGCATTTGTATTATTTCCTAGGGCTACGATAACCGAGTAGCACAAAATGGGTGGCCTCAAACAACAATGTATTGTCACAGGTTTGGAAACTAGAAGTTCAAAACCAAGGTGTCAACAGGGTCTTTCTCCCTCTGACATCTACAGGGGAGAATCCTTCCCGGCTCTTCTAGCTTCTGATGTTTGCAGGCAATCCCCGGTTCCTTGGTGTGTAGGCGCATCACCCCAATCTCTGCCTTTGCTGTCACTGTACGTGGGCTCCATGATTAGTCTTAGCTAGGTCGTGAGTTGCTCTAAGACAGGTGGGGGTCGGGGTGGGAGGCAGTTTGTCTTTGCATTCCCATGTCCGACACACAGGACTCAGTAAATGCTTTCTGTCTATAAGTGCCGTACATGGATCTCGCCCAGCACCAGGCTGTAGCGGGAGGCGCATAGCGCCTGGCCTTCCACTCAAGCTCCAGCTCTGAGCTGCAGATAGTGGGGGGCCAGCATTGCGAGACCAGCAGTTAGGGGTCAGGATAGCGGGGCCAGCAGCGCGGAGCCAGTGTCCGCTCCCCACACAGCCCACGCTCCAAGCCGCCACGCGGCTGCACTTCCGGGTCCGAGTGCGGAGGTGCCTGAAGCTTCGCGAGGACTGGACTACATTTCCCAGAGAACCCTGGGGCGAGCCTCAGGCGATTGGTTGAGACCGACAGCCAATGAGGCCGCGAAGAGCTCGCACAGACCAATCACAGCCCCAGGGCGGGAGCTCCGCGTGGATGCTCAGCTGCGACAGAAACACCCTGAGGGGCCGGTTCCGGGACGCACGT